TCCTAAGCCTCTGGTTTCTTACCTGTAAATATAATAAAAATTCTCTTTCATTGAAGTAACACCTCCAATGCATCAGACACTGTTGTAGCCCTTGAGGTGGATCCATAAACAAAGAGACGTAGACTTCTCCCTCCTATGTTTTTTGGGTGGAAATGTTGTTTATAAGTAGGCCTGACACACACCTGACACTCAGAAGGGGTAGTAATTAGCTGTATTTGTAGCTTCCAACTCCGATGCTTTCCAGCCAGGTAACTCCTGGGTAAGTGGAACTGCCATTTTCATACTTTCATGGCAGCTCCCACCTACTAGTGCTCACTATAGTCTGGGCACAGTTCTGAGTGCTTCACCAGGTGTCTACACTCGTTCAATCCCCACAGCAAGCCTATGAGGCAGTTTGTTCGTCTCATTTTACAAGGATGAGAACACATAGGGAGGACATTAAGGAAATTCCGGACCACAGAGCTGGTGGATAACAGAGCTGGGATCTGGATTTAGTCTCCAGAGACCCTACTCTTAACTATAGCGCCTTGGAGTAATGAAATTAGAACCCATTTTCTTAAATTTTATTTTTATTGTTGAGAGTATAACAGATGTCCAACCAAGTGCCAAAAAATCATCTATTAAAAATGTCTGCGCCAAAGTATGTATTAGATGGGCTTATTATGCCCTCTGGTGGCAAACCAAAGCAGGGAAAGAAAAGGAAGTTAGGTGCCCTAGGAAGACAAGCCCCCAGTTTGCTGACATTCTGGGCTCTTCAAAAGTTTGCAATCTCAAGACAATGGCTGGAAAATCTCTCAGGAATAAAATGTGAGAATACTGAGGAAGATTCGAGATAGTTAACATGACATCGGGCCCTCGCACATTGTCTACACACAGCAAAGCCTGCAGAGTGACAATGGTGTGGAGGGATCTTTTGGTAAAATCTCAAGGGACAAATATCAGATTATAATGTTATTAGAAATAATTTTAATTAAAAAGGTTTTGCCAGCATGTCAAAAAAAACATGATCATGACCAATACATCTCCTAGGACAATGGAAACTAAGGAGAAAATAAACAAATGGGACTACATCAAAATAAAAAGCTTCTGCACAGCAAAAGAAACCATCCACAAAATGACAAGAGAGACCACTGCATGGGAAAACATATTTGCCAATGATACATCCGATAAGCGTTTAATCTCCAAAATTTATAGGGAACTCATGCAACTTAACAAAAGGAAGATAAACAATCATTCAAAAAAATGGGCAAAGGACCTAAATAGACATATTAAAAAAATGCTGAGTCACTAATCATCTGAGAGATGCAAATCAAAATGACAGTGAGGTACCATCTGACACCTGTCAGAATGGCTATCATCAACAAATTAACAAACAAGTGCTGGAGAGGATGTGGAGAAGAGGGAACCCTGTCACTGCTGGTGGGAATGCAGACAGATGCAGCCACTGTGGAAAACATGTATGGAGTTTCCTCAAAAAATTAAACATGGAGCGCCCATTTGACTCAGTAATCCCACTTCTAGGAATATGTCCCAAGAAATCAGAAACACCAATCAGAAAGAATATATGCACCCCTATGTTCATAGCAGCACAATTTACAATAGCTAAAATTTGGAAACAGCCTAAGTGCCCATCAGCAGATGAGTGGATTAGAAAACTGTGGTACATCTACACAATGGAATACTATGCTGCTGTAAAAAGGAAAGAACCCTTACCATTTGCAAGAGCATGGATGGACCTGGAGAGCATTATGCTAAGCAAAATATGCCAGTCAGAGAAAGATAAATATCACATGATCACACTCATTTGTGGAATGTAACAACATAAACTGAGGAACAAAAATAGATCCAGAGACATAGAAGCAGCAAACAGACCATCAGACCTCAGAGGAAAGGCAGGGGCGGGTGAAGGGTAAGAGATCAACCAAAGCACTTGTACTCATATAAGCCTAACCAATGCAAACAACAACAAGGGAGTGAAGGCCTGGGCTCGGGGGTGGGGGTGGGCTGGGAGAGGTCAATGGGGGAAAAAGGGGACATTGTAATTCTTTCAACAACAAAGAATTAAAAAAAACAAACAAACACGATCATGAAGCTATTGTACACCATCTTCTCCTAGATGAATTGCTAACAAATGTGGTATTCCCTTCATTGAAGTGCTAGGTTTGTCAGGATTCATGAATTCTTGAGACATGGCCTAAGAGCTGCTTCTGCAACTCCCTATCTTCATCCCCAAAACTAAAGCCAAGGTAGAATAAGACACTATTTCTTTGCTCATCAAAGTATACACTCAAGTAGTTTAAATCCAATGGTCCTTAAATGCAAACTGACTCGTACAACCTGATGCTTGAACAGCCTCTTTTATGATGTTACCAACACTGATACTTTCCCTCTCCTCAGGCAGTGGAGGTGGGGTGGGAAGTACTGCCTTTTTATGCTCTCTTCCCACTTCCTCTCAGTCCCAATCTGAGAAGCACCGTGCTCCCTGGAGGCTGGGAGGTTCTCAAAATACTTCCTGTTATTCCTGGTACTGTATTCCCTGGAGGGTGAGAAACTGACACCCTCAACTAGGCTCTCTAAGGATTCTCCTCTCTGCCCCTTATTGCGTCTTGCAGGGAGATGGTGATGGCATTAAAAAATTGCAACCAAAATGTAAATAGTCTATATCTATCTATTCTCGCTTAACACTATGTGGTGGCCTTAATCTTCTAAAACACAAATTGAATAGAAAGCAGCAATACTGTTTGATCCACTTTGATATTAAGCTTCGCAAACTCAAAAATACGGTGTTATGAGAGCACCATCTTGTGGCATGTTGTTTACATTGTAGGCAAGGGGGAATATCGGCAATCAGGGTCAGATTATGAATTTAAGAAATGACTTTAATAGAGGAACTACCATTGTTTTCTGTTATATGCAGTCTTTTTGGCAAGTCCTCAAGCTGTGTGAATGGGGATGACAAATTTCCCAGCCACAGGATATGAACATGCTCAACTCCGGGTACCAGATAACACTCCAGTGTGAACCTTGACTGAAGACAAGCCAGACCAAGTTAGTACATGTGTGAGTAGTCCTGGGGCAGTCCTAATTATATTATTATTAACTAGTGGCCTGGTGCATGAATTCATGCACATTGAAAGGAAATTAATTAGAAGAAATATTTTAATCTCACTATTTGCCCTTTCTCTATAATAGAAGTGTCAGAGATGAAAGAAAATTATAAAATGTACATGAAAATAATATATAAATTAATAAAAGCAGTAACAATATAACAACAGATATTTTCCATGAAATTTTTACTGCCAGGATCTTTGTTTATCATTAATTTTTAAAAATATGCCGGGTATTCTGGAAAATTTATTATCATTTGGACAAACTTTGCCTTTGCTGCAACATTGAGTATCCACCACAACTGTGTTCAATAATTGCATCCTCATTTACCTCATTTTCGCGATGAAGGCAGTTCCTACCAGTATTGGTAGTACTTGTTGATGCCAGTTCTTCAGACGTCGCTTTCTTTTGGCTTCAGAGATACGTTGTGCCAATAGTTGTTCTTCAGACATATTCTGTTGACAAACGTGGCTCTTTTTCAGCCTCAGAGGTATGTTGTGCTAATAGTTGGTCTTCTGATACATTCTTTCGACACCAGGGCTTCTTTTGGCTTCAGAGGTACATTGTGGCAACAGTTGGTCTTCAGGCATATTCTGTCCACAATTTTGGCTTCAGAATGTCAACAAAAACATGACGTCTTTACCCAGTGCCCACAGCCACCATTTGTGGGCTGGGCTGGGCTGTGGGCCGCCTTTTGCACCATGGCAGCGTTGACTGCGATTTGGTGGGTTGTCACTCTGGGGTGATGGCGGGGTCTGTGTCCCTCATGGGGGAAGCCGAGGGTTTACATAAAGGTGTGAATACCCAGGTTGGGATCATTGGAAGACATTTTAGAGGCTAACACAGTCTGCTCTGACTCCCATAATTCCCATCCCTCTCATATAAAAATTAGACTTAGCCTCTCCCTGAACTCTTGAAAACCTCATTCAGCTTCAGCTCATATAGCTTCAGCTCAAAATCGAGAATCTCACCACTTCAATCTGACCCTGGTAAAGGTGAGGTTTTTGAGGTATGTTCTTGAAATACAATTCAAGTGTGGTTCCTTCCAAGCTAAGGACTTGTACACTAAAGGGGAAATTTATCTGTCTCCCAAACACCCGATTTACAATGGCTGCACAGGCAGTGTCCTAAGTTCAGGAACAAGTCAAGGAGGCCCACTCTCATTATTTCTATTCACCATGAAGGTTCTAGCCAGGGTAATTTTAGACAATAATCTGTTATAAAAACCCCTTGGCTATGACACCGTCATGACCACAGACTGGTCACCAGGAGGCTGCGTGCTGCGTGCATGGCGAGGTGCACGCGGGTGGGCAGGGACTTGACTCTGAGTCCTACCGGCGCTGCGGGTCTCGCTAGCTGGGCCTCTAGTATTAAAATAATGCAGCTGCTGTGAAGTTTGACAGTTCCTCAAAAAAAATTAAACATAGAATTATCATGCTATTCAGCAATTGACTCCTAGGCAAACCCAAAGTAATAAAAAACATATTCAGACAAACTTGTGTATGATTTTCATATAAGCATCATTCAAATGTCTACCAAAAAAATGTGATATATCTGTATAGAGGAATATCATTCAGTTACAAAAAGAAATACTTAAACATGCTACAATATGGATGAACCTTGAACACATTATGTTAAGTGTATACTTTCACCTATGTAATATGTTCAGAATAGGTAACTATAGACAGAAAGTTGATTAGTGAATGCCAGAAGCTAGGGATATTAGGGGATGGAATTACAGGGACTTACTGGGGGCGGTTGATAAAGAAGAAAAAGACATTTGGCACATAATAAATTCTCCATACTAAAAAAGATGAAATGTTTTTAGACACGCAAATGCTGAAAGACCAACAAATCTGCATTCTAAAAAAAATTAAAGCCCTTCTACCAGGTAAGACATATAAAAGTTCACATTTATTAAATTTGTGATAATTTTATTCATAACAGGACAAAATTTATTTTTACATATATATACAAATCATTTATTTTCTCCACATAAAAATAGAAATATTTACATATTTACAAAAATATTAAAACATACAGACTTTACATATCAAGGCAAACAGGATTTCACAAAGGACACATGGAAATATACACACTGAAAAAGACATTAAAGAAATGTGACAAAACATTTAAATTAAGACTCCAGACTTGCTACTTCAAAAGACATTAATTTGGTAAGGCAAATAAAATGTCTCAAATACTAATAGATGGCAAACAAAATTTAGGTAAGATTGTGTAGGTAAAATTACATGAGCTCCTTTATTAAAACATTCAATTTTATTTTATCTCTAAAACAAATATAAGGTGTCCATATTTTTTTCTTAAAATATTTAAATTTCCTGATTTATGCTGAGAACTTTGAACTTTTTCACATTAAATTATAAAATATTTTAAGAGGTTTGCATCCTCCACTTAGAAGGGGGGCAGAAATCCCTTGCCGGGTACTCAATTCAACATAAAATTGAAAATCACAATATTCTTACTAATTTTTTAAATTAAAACCTAACATTTTCTGACTAACCTTCATAATCAGCTATAACAGATATTAATAAAATATCACAATCGTCGTAAATTCTGCTTGCTTTTCTTAGTACCAGGCAGAGGAGTCATTTTACAACTGGCTTTTAGAGACTTGCCATTCGAACAGTCTTTGGTGGTATGATAATTACACAGACATCTTGTACAATAATCAAACCCACAGCCTTCTCTGTTGCAGATTGCCCTCTGTAAATAGCAATCATATTTTGCAGGTGAATTACAGCGAATACAGGCTTTGAGGCTTTCATTCTTTTTCAACGTCTTGGCAACCTATTAAGAAAATCCACAAACAAATTTTAGTAAATACTGAATTGAATGTAACTTCGGAAAAACAAGAATGGCACCTCTGTACCCACCCCAATACAGGCATAAAGAACCAATGTGACACATAAGAGAACTCCTCCTTTCCCCAAAGGACCCTCGCCCTGATATTATCAATGAGCGAGAGATATTATCAGCCAGTTCAGTAGTAATTTCCTAACGCTATTTTAAATATGTTCTTTTCCTTCATGAATGCTACTCACACGTCAATGCCTGACTTAATAGGCACCTCTTCTGTGACATTTCCCTAGTATCACTCAGGAGTTGGCAGCACTTTTACCTCTAGTCTGGTTTTCTTAAAGTGCCTATTATATTACATACTTTTTCTGTAATGTAGCTATTTTTTATTCTAGATCAGCCGTGGGCAAACTACGGCCCGTTTGAAATGAATAAAACTAAAAAAAAAAAAAAAAAAAAAAAAAAAAAAAGACCGTACCCTTTTATGTAATGATGTTTACTTTGAATTTATATTAGTTCACACAAACACTCCATCCATGCTTTTGTTCCGGCCCTCCGGTCCAGTTTAAGAACCCACTGTGGCCCTCGAGTCAAAAAGTTTGCCCACCCCTGTTCTAGATTATAAGGCTATGAAGGTTACTACCCTGTTTTCTTATCTATGCAGTACCAGTAAGATAGCAGATGCTCAAAAAATGCTTTGGAATAAACTTACATTATAATCAGGCATCAGAGTAACAGAGAGAATACTAAATTTCATTACATAAAATTTGTATTTATTGACCAACAAATGAGGTCAACATTTTATTTCAAAACATATACTCTTTTAACTATAATTTTTAAGTTAAGTTTGCAAAATTATCCATGTGAGAACTTTTGTAATACACATTACCCAGTGATGTGAAGGTTTAATAGGAGGCCCTGAATTTCTGAAAAGTTGGCCCTGTTCTGCTTAGATAGCAAAGAACTTTAAAATCAAGAGTCTCCATTATTTTCTTAGTATTTCTTAATTAGATTTCAACATCACTAAACTGTCCAACAATGCCAAATGTATATTATTTTTATCACAGAAAGGCATCTCTGTACTTTCCCAATATATTAGTTGAGTTATGAAATGGTTTCTTAATTTCTAACACTTTGGAGAGTAGAATGAAGGGTACAGAAGATTAGGCCTCCAATAATAGTTCTAATTATGCAATGATTAAATTTAAAGTTCTCCCTTTCTTACTTTAAACCAGCGGTTCTCAACCTGTGGCTCGCGACCCCTTTGAGGGTCAAACGACCCTTTCACAGGGGTCGCCTAAGACCATCAGAAAACACATATATAATTACATATTGTTTTTGTGATTAATCACTATGCTTTAATTATGTTCAATTTGTAACAATGAAATTGGGGGTCACAACATGAGGAACTGTATTAAAGGGTTGTGGCATTAGGAAAGTTGAGAACCACTGCTCTAAAATCCTCTTAACAATAAATACCCCATACGACTCTAACTTATCGATAAACAAAAAAATTACCTCAGAGAATTCACTGTGCCAACTATAAGTAGAACCTTTCTTATCAGCTGGATCAGATAACTTGTCTTGAGCATCATTTTTGAGGGGAGTCTGGGCTGCTGATTTTTGAACAGAAGCTAATGCAGTTCTAAACATACCATATTCTCTGGTTAAAGCATGTGATGAAAACTTAATGTTCTTTTCCTAATTAAAAAAAAAATAATAGGATTTCAATTTACCTACACATGCTTAAAAAAAAAACAGCCACACATAAGTATTCACATAAACATTTAAAGGCTAATAACTAAATTATCGACAGAAATTACAAACCAAAATGTGAGCATTTGACATGCTTAGTCTATATAGCATTGAATACATGATTTTTAAAGTTCTGCCAGAACAGTAATTCTTCCTTCCAACAGCAGAGGGCAATAGTCATGCTTAAGTGTCACTATAGTGTCATGAAGATTCAATACCACCTTTTAGATTAGAAAATTTTCCATTAACACCAGCTTATTAATAAAGAAATTAAACTTGGAGAATGAAAGCAATACTAACCTAGAGCAACACAGCTAATAAGTAGCAGCACCAAAATTTGGACCTAAGTCTGCCCACTCTTCAGTCTGAAATATATATTGATCTTGAGGTATTTTTTTAAATTTATTTTTATTGTTAAGTATTATAGGTGTTGATCTTGAAGAATTTTTGAAAGTAAATTAATTCTCTTCTATATTAAGAATCTTCAGTATATAATTTACTATATATCAGGTAACTAAAAAAATACACACAAAATGGCAACCTATATTAGCTGTATAATCAACACACACTGAGAACTGAGTAATTTTCCCTTCAGACATTCCATTTTTAGGACTAAACAACCGAAGTGGGATTCCTTACCCTTTCCATATAAATTTTATAATGAGTTCTAGTAAAGGTTGAATTGCTTTTTGAATGTAACAGATTTCCAGATCACCTGTTATCTTTTCTAATTTCCCCCTTCTATTTCTAATGGTAAAAATCACTAGCTACTGTATATTATACTGAAAACATCAACTGCAAAGACTTACAGTAACTCTTTGTATTGCTTTATTGTACAACTGCAATGCTCGCTTATCATCTTCTAGAATCTTCTTCCAAGTTGTGCTCACTTTAGACACACTGGAAAAATAAATGGTTATGAAATACACAATTAAAGCATCACAAAGAGCTCAGATGAATATACTATGGAAACATTAACGTGCATAAAGAAATTTTTATTAGCACTTTTTCTTAAATATAACTTTACATTATTAGAATTGCCCAGGGCACTTAAGATTTAAGGATACCTCATGCTTAGCATTTGGGTTTAATTGGTCTAAAATAGGGGACAGAGTTCTGTATTTTTAAAAAAGTTGCCTATCAAGTAATTCTATGTGCATCCAGGCTTAAAAACTACTAATTTATATTTCACTAGAGGCCCAGTGCACAAATTCGTGCATCGGTGGGGTCCCTAGACCTAACTTGTGGGATCAGGCCGAAACTGGCTCTCCAACATCCCTTGAGGAGTCCCGGATTGCGAGAGGGCACAGCCAGGCCAAGGGACCCCACCAATGCATGACTGGGGCTGGGGAGGGATGCGGGAGATTGGCCAGCCAGGGAGGGGCCACGGGGCTCCAGGGTGTGTCCGGCCTGTCTCCCTCAGTCCCAATCGGCTGGATCCCAGCAGCAAGCTAACCTACCAGTCGGAGCATCTTCCCCCTGGTGGTCACTTCACGTCATAGTGACTGGTTGACCAGTCAACTGTCTGCCTCCTGGTGGTCAGTGCACATCATAACGACTGGTCAACAGTCTACCCCTTGGTGGTCATTGCATGTCATAGCGAGCAGTTGAGCGGCCGTAGCATAGTATTAGCATATTACGCTTTGATTGGTTGAACGGCCGACTGGTCGACCGGACACTTAGCATATTAGGCTTTTATTACATAGGATTTTTTTTCACGTTATCTGCAAACATCAAGTAAGCATCTGCAAACATCAAGTAAGCAGCCACTGCCTACTATCTGTTAGCTATTTGGTAAACGTTGTAGACAGATTTTAAAGTGCTTAAGGACACACTGTTATTAGTAGCAATCAACTTGTGATGTTGATTATCCCTTAAGAAGCTAGCCAATAAAAATCAATATTTACTTATCTGTTTTGCTTTAGCTACATGTTTTATAAAGACCAGTGTAAAACACTTGCAAAGAGTACTTCTGAACACTTAAATGGCCTGAAAGACCAGAAATCATCTCATATTTCAACTGCAATAAGTCACAATGCTTATTACACCTGTACACTAGAACTAGACATTGTCTTATACTTAAGCCAGAAAGATGTAGCTTACATAACAGAAATTTCAGAACCCAGAGAAAAAAAGATCCCAATCTAACAAAAATAATTTGCATTAGTGTATTATACGAATACTCAGAGCAACAATACTTACTTGATTAAGTCCATATCGCTGAGCTGTGTTAAAATATTTGCTAAGAGATGTCTGAGTCCCCTTCGAAAGAGTTCACTGAGAATATCTACATATTCTAGGCCCATTTTTCTGCCAATTATATTCTGTAGTCGAAAACCTACATCATACTCCTTTAGCTTCTCCCAATCTATTTTATGATTCCGTCTGGAACTCTTTTTTAATGTTGAACAAACAACTTTTGCAAAATGAAGAGCTGGCATCAAGTTTTTGTTGGGATATTGGTCTGGGCTTTGAGTCTGAGGTAGACAAGACTGTGGACTGCCATTGCAATTTTCTTCTAGGGAAAGGCTAGCCTCTTCCTGTTCATCCAGGATACTCTTTTGGGAAAACGAAAAATAGCCACTGTCTTCATAAGGTCCATTGGTTTCTAGTTCTTCTATTTCATTTGATCTATTAAGTGTTGGTTGCACATGTTGATTTTCCTTGTTATGCAAGGGTTTGTTCTCAGTTTCAAGTTCTACAATCCTGGGGCTCACAATAGGTGACCCGATATCTGATAGCCTTTCATAGTCTTTAATGCAGTCTTTATTAGAACTTTCCAAACATGCAGAAGTGTAGGAACCTAGCCTTCCACTGTCATCCGGTTTTACCAGCTTAACTCCAGAATGAACATGGTTATAGTTAAAATCATACTTCATTTTGATAGAAAGAACAGAAGTTTCTTTGCAACCTATAAAAAGAACATAACATATTTACTTCTTAATAACAAAATTTTAACATATCCTTACTATTTAAAATGGGATATAATATTTAATTACTTTGCATCTCTTAGCTCTGTGTATTGCCTAAGTGGTTGTGAAGTTATCAAAGTTTAATTATGGAAATGTGACAATATGAGGAAATATTATTTTATATATACATATCTTATTCTTAAAAGGGTACTTCAAAACAGATTGCTCTTAGACCTGTATAGCTAACTACATTTGACTTTTAGAATCTATATTGACTGAGTAAAAAATAGTGAAAGAGGGACTATTTAACAGATATCTGTGCTTATAGAAAAAATAAGGAGATGTGAGGCATCAAGACTGGGGTCTCAGGTCAGAGATACCCTTATAGTATCAAATACTTCTAGAATCAGTGTTTATACCATGGACTTGAAATGACACTAGTCAGCTTTACTTAAGCATAACTCAAAAAAGTCAACACTTGTACCATCAGCCAAAGGCCTTAGAAATCAGTTAAAAATATCTTTAAATCAAGCATTCTCAAAGTTGTACACTACTGATCGACAGTTGGACAAGATAACTCATCATTGTTGAGGGCTGTCCCATGCATTGTAGGATACTTAGCAGCTTTTACCCATCTGATGCCATTCACAGCCCCTACCCCTTAGGTAGGATTATGAAAACTGTCTCGTCACCAGTTATTGCCAAATTTTGGGAATGGTGGGAAGGCAGTGGCAGCAAAGTCTCCCTCATTATCCAGTTGAGAACCACTGCTTGAAATGATTAGGATTTTGTCAGGCAATAGAGGCTGGAAAGGGCACTCAGAGTGTGAGCAAGGGCACTATATTGGGAAGGAATGTAGTAATGGGTTCAGAAAAACTGCTCAGCATTATTGAGGGCACAGTGTGTGAAGAGCATATGCTTCAAGTTTACTTCCCATCTACTCTCCCCAATCATAAGTAGCTAACAACTTATCCTATAAGTAAATGAATATACCAGTCAGTATGTTTACACCAAATATTGGTTAAGATCGTTATAACAATTTTACCATTTTTATTTAGAGCAAAACCTTTAAGTTAAAGCACCAAAGGACATGCTGATAGAGAGTAACATTGTAGGTAGGGACTCTTTAAATTCCAAATGATTAACACATTGGAAGACATAGTATGTGCTCTAGGACCCCATAAACCTTGTACTAAATCCTAAAATTTAGATTTAAGCTAAGAGTTTGGGACATAAGTAAATAAAGAGTATACACATCTTAAACACTCCCCCCCTCCAATTAACCCTAACTTGAATGAATTATTCTGAGTGCTTCTCTTCCACCCAGAAAAAGTAAAATATTCCAAGAGAGATATTTTTGTCTCAAGTAAAAAGTAAGTATAATTTACACATGGCCGTATTTAATCTGTAGAAGTCACCTATAAAGACAGTTTTTACTTTGTTTAGCTGCCTAAAGGGAAGAGGCCTAAAATTGTACTTCGGAAACTCTTCATTCACTCTTTCCAAAGGCACTGTTCTCCTGCTTGTCTTTAGAACCCAGTAACAGGGATTGTTCCAGCTTTGCCACTGTAAGTTCATGTCCATCAGACACACTTCCACTGTTGTTTTTGGAACTTTCCTTACTTTCTAGCCTTAGAATCCGTTATTTCTCCAAGAAGCTCTAGTTCATTTTATTGGTTCCAGAATCTAGATGCTAGTTGTAGATTTAGTTTTAAAATGTAAAACTATGTGAATTAATGTTGAGAGAATCGAAGATGGCGGCGTAGGTAAACACCGGAGACCGCCGCCGTAAACAACCACTTCAAAAATACAACTAAAAGTCGGAACGGACATCAACCAGAACCACAGGAAGGCTGGCTGAGGAGAGACTCTTCAACTAGAAGCAAAAACAACAGCAGTCCGACGCACAGAGGAGGCGCAGTGTGGAAAATTTAAAGGTACGGTGGTGCGGCGGTGCGCGTGCAAAGCGGGCTGGTGGCTGAGGGCGCGGTTGCCGTTTTCAATCAGGAGTGAGTCTCAGACTCTGGGCTACAGATCCGGGCGAGTCTCTAGGGACCCAGACTCAAACGGGAGAAGCGGGACTGTCTGGCTACGGCCCCTCCGAGGTTTGCAGCGATTGCTGGGACAGAGAAGCAGAGCCTTGGGGACGGACTGAGAGCGGCCATAGCTGCTCCCTC